AGGGTTTAGGGGTTTAGGGGTGTGAGGGTTTGGGGTTTAGGGCTCCAGGGTTTTTAGGATTTTGGGCTTTGAAACCGGGTTTAGGGTTTTAGGGTTCTTTTCAAACGGTTCCTTTTTTAGGGTTCCACAAAGGTCTAGGGCCTTCTTCTCAGTAACATGGGGCCTCAAGACTTACCTACTCTTTGGGTTTAGGGTTTGGGGTATTAGGGTTTGAAACGGTTTAGGGTTTAGGGTTTAGGGATGTAGGGGCCTTGATAATTACCTTGGTAGTTTGGGGTGGCTCCTTATGATATAATACTTATGGCAGAAGGGGCCCCCAAAACCCTGCTCTAATTATCAAGGCCCCCACATTACTCTTGGATTCTTCTTGCTGCTGCATCATTGCTATGTTGACACCGTATCAGACCTAGTTGCACGCGGGGGCAGTGGGGCGGGGTCAGAACCTCTGGTCCTGGAGGCTTCGAAGCCAAAATAAAATTTTGGAGGGGGGTGGGAGAGGTCGTAAGATTTGCATTTATTGCATTTGGATTAGGTCACTGGGCCGTGCGCCATCTTCTAAGAATCTCTCAACCTCCCACCACCGTGCCTGAACCCTAGACCCGAAACCCTAAACCATACACCCGAAAACCCTAACCCCTAAACCCTAAACCCTCAACCCTCAAGCCCTAAACCCTAAACCCCAAACCCTAAACCGTAAACCCTAAACCCTAAACCGCTAAACCCTACCTTGAACCGCCTACCCGAAGCCACAGCAAACACCCCTGCGGACCTGAGCTCACAAGGAGGCTGCGCTGGGTGGTATGTTTGCCCTGCTCCCGGCGTCTCGTCTGAATTAAAAAAAGGGGCGATAATAAATAGAATAGGGTTTGGGGGTATCTTATACGATAATTAAAATACGGAACCCTCAAAACCCCATTCTAACTATTCAGGCCCCTACATTAGAGCTCAGATCTTTGGGTTGAGCTCAGCTCTTGTGTTCTTGGCTACAGGGCACGGGATTGCAGAGCCCAAGCAGTTTGAGCCCAAGCCCCAGCCGCGTGCCTCCAGACACTGAGCCCTTTACAGGAAGGCTACGACGGCAAATGCAGACAAATATCGAAGAAGGAGAAAAAACCTAAACCCTAAACCCTAAACCCTGCAGTAATTCTTAGCAAGTAGAGAGGACTAGGAATAGTCAGGAAAAAGGAAGAGTCTAGGGATACCTCAGCTTCGACTCTGGCAGTGAAACTGGCAAGAAAGATGCCTCAGGCTAGCAAGAACAGTGCAGAGAAGTACCCATGCGATTCCTAAGAGATCGGAACTCGGAGTCCTCGAAGTCCATGGGACTTTGCATCCCAAAGCCCCAAAGCTCTCCTATAGAGCAGAAAGGCGAAAGGTGGGCACAGGAAAAGTCTCTTGTGCCAGCGGAAATGAGGCTGCCGGACCCGACTAGCGCCCGACTGTCTGGTGCTTAGTAGGGAATGGGGGAAGGGCTTATAGGGACTACTATAAGGGACCTTAAGGGACTATCGTAGGGATCCATTCCCCCATTCCTTACTTACTATGCACCAGACAGCCGATAGTTCCATCCTTGCATAAGACTCAGAAGGAGGGGAGAAGAACGTCTCGTCAGGAGGGTCTCGTGTGCACGCCCAACGACCTTTGTCTTGGCATCACCGCTCATCAGGACGACCCAGGGGTTTAGCGCTTCTAGGATTTGGTTTTAGGGTTTGGGGTCTAGGGCTTAAGGGGTTTAGGGCTTATGTTTTATATGTCTGATAGAAAAAGTTCCAAGTAGCCTCGTACAAGAATCATCGCCCCAGAACCTTTCGAAGTTCGTTCAAAGGTGTCGGTATTTTAGCAGTCCTTCAACTGTCTGGTGCTTAGTAGGGGATGGGGGAATGGATCCCTAAGATAGTCCCTTAAGGTCCCTTATAGTAGTCCCTATAACCCATTCCCCCTTCAACCCCGTCCCCGATATAGCCTTCGGACTCATCAGCCTTTGGGTTCATGCGAGGATCCCCCAGTGCTCTTCAGAAAAGCCATGCTCTCAAGTCGACCCACGAGAGTCCAGAACCCAAGAAACCCCACCAACTGTCTGGTGCTTAGTAGGGAATGGGGGAAATGGGTTATAGGGATTACTATAAGGGACCTTAAGGGGCTATCATAGGGATCCCTTCCCCCCAGTCCCTACTAAGCACCAGGCAGCCAACGGGAGCCTATAGACAAGTCTAAGAGCGCTCCTGTTTTTCTTCAAGGCAACAGCTGCTTGGGAGAAACGACGTGAACTCACATGTTTAAGTCGCTTGCTAAATCCCCGTGCTCCTGCAACCACGACTTACAGCCCGTGGCAGGAAGACTACTCCGTGATGATCGAAGTTCACTTCGAGCGAGATCGCTGCTCATCGGAACTGAGCTGGCAGGTCAAGTTGGGCGCTTTTATAAATGCCAACATAAGAAACAACTGCAAGGATGTGTGTGTGTGTGTGTGTGCGTGGGTTGTGTGTGTGTGTGTAAGTGTATGTGTACATGTACGTACATAGGCATGCAGGCAGCCAGGCAGGTACATGGAGGATCATGGGACTTAGTAAGTAAGGTTATAAATACCCTAATTGAGGTGATAATTGTAGTTACCTTATTTATAACCCTAGTACTAAGTCCCATGATCCTCCTAGTAGGTGGGTATTCCGCTGTGCCCGTGTCCCGTCAGAGCGGATGAATGTCGAAGTCTCCTGCGAGGCTATGAGCGCCTCTGTGCGCGATATCCCTTGGAGGCTTGACCCGGGGCATGGAAGCTATAGATGCCGATGCATACATCTAAGACATAAAGGTCGATTGCTACAGTGTTTAGGGTTTTAGGGTTTAGGGTTTTAGGGTTTAGGGTTTTAGGGTTTAGGGTTTTAGGGTTTAGGGTTCAGGGTTTTAGGTTCAGGTTTTAGGGTTTGGGGTTTTTGGGCATAGTATGCTTCAACTATAATACGGAACGTCCCAAAAGAGTATAGGTGATGATTGAAGGCCCCTATATTAGGCTTCCTTTGGCTACGGCTCTCTTCAGAGGCGCTGCTGGCAGCGGATGTCTGGTCCAACGCAGTGGCTTGGAGAGTTTGGTGGGTTTAGGGTTTAGGGTTTAGCCGAGTTCCGAGGGCTGAGAATTCTGGAGTTCTAGGAGTACCCAGAGAGCCCAACAAGGGACCCCTTAATGAAGGAATGTACCTTAAATCATGATATTTTAAGGGCCCTATAATTTAAGGTATATTCCTTATTTATGGGGTAAGTTGGGCTCTCTGGGTAGAGGCTTTGGGGGAAGGTTCTTTATTCCTGAAGCTCAGCTTGAAGAAGAGAGGTCTCTGCCATGTCGGAGGTCCTCTTAGCGGAACATTCCGGCGTGCGGAGGCAGAGACTGTCGGATTCCGGGTTTTGAGGATTGGGAGTGCTGTTTCCCACCAAGTGCGATGTCTTAGAACCCTCAAGATGCCCCTAGCTTCCGATAACGGTTTAGGGTTTAGGGTTTAGGGTTTAGGGTTTAGGGTTTAGGGTTTAGGGTTTAGGGTTTAGGGTTTAGGGTTTAGGGTTTAGGGGGGCCGTCCACCGCTTCTCGTTAGTATAAGCCAGTTCAAAGCACAACCCTCGCCACACCAAGCAGCAAAAACAAGCCTTGCCGGCCACCAGGCATCCCAAGAACATGCCCAGAGAGAGCCCAACACCCCTTAATTAAGGAATATACCTTAAATCATAATATTAAGGCCCCTATAACTTAAGGTTTATTCTTCATGTAAGGGGTATTGGGCTCTCTGGGTGACTTCTTGGATGATCGTTCCTCCATTGCATGGCACAAGCTTCGTGAAGCTCTACGTAAGACCCAGCAACACAGTGGCCTCGAGACGTCGCAGCACTACTTGTCTATACGCTTTGTAGACATGCTTGGAGGATCATGGGACTTAGTAACTAGGGTTATGAATAAGGTAACTATAATTGTAACCCCAATTAGGGTATTTATAACCTTACTTACTAAGTCCCATGATCCTCCAGGTGCATTATGCCAGACCCCCAAAGCCTTCTTCCACTGGGTTAGGCATTGGGGCACTGTCGTGGACACATGCCCGGAGGTGGAATCACCCGACAATCAGCCAACTGCTCCTTGAGGCTAGGGAAACACCAGGTGGGAACAAAGTAGCCTAAAGGCGAGAACACACATAATATAGAGGCCTAAATACTTACCTATATTATTTGGGGGGTTCCTGGTTGTAGTTATACTATAATATACCCAAAACCCTAGTCTAACTTATCAAGGCCCCTACATTATACTTGTCCCTTACAGGTTCCTGTTTTACTCCGCTACTAGTCGCAATCAACAATTCACCAGACGAGACACCCCTAAACCCCTAAACCCTAAACCCTAAACCCAAAACTCCAAAGCCCAAAATCCAACACCCTAAACCCCTAAACCCCAAAACTCCAAAACCCAAAACCCAACACCCTAAACTCCTAAACCCTAAACCCCAAAACTCCAAAACCAAAACCCAACACCCTAAACCCCTAAACCCTAAACCCCAAAACTCCAAAACCTACACCCCAACACCCTAAACCCCTAAACCCTAAACCCCAAAACTCCAAAACCTACACCCCTAAACCCTAAACTCCTAAACCCTAAACCCCAAAACTCCGAAAAACCCTACACCCCTAAACCCCAAAACTCCGAAAAACCCTACACCCTAAACTCCTAAACCCCCAGACCCAACATCCAGCAGCAAGCCGAGGTCTCGATCTTCTTCCAGGGCGACCGTAGCAATCCGATCCTCTTCGGCGAGCTGAGTGGGCAGGCATCGAAGCCCAGAGGGTCCGAGTTCCCAAATAGTAGGGTTTAGGGTTTAGGGTTTAGGGTTTAGGGTTTAGGGTTTAGGGAACCCCTTAATTGGTTTAGGGTTTAGGGTTTAGGGTTTAGGGTTAATTAAGGAAGATATACCTTAAATCCTAGTATTAAGGCCCCTATAGTGTAAGGTGTAGTCCTTATTTACGGGGTAAGTTGCCCAGAGGGTCCGAGTACTCAAATAGTAAGGTTTTGGGCCCCAAAATCCACACTCCGAATGGTTGTTGGATCCTGAAACCCTACCCAAAACCCTAAACCCTAAACCCTAAACCCTAAACCCCAAACCCAAAACCCTAAACCCTAAACCCTACTATTTGGGTGCTTGGCCCGTTAGGGAAGTTGGCCTCCAAGCGACCGCGTACTGTGGTGGCGTTCAGTGTGTGTCTGGCTTTAGAGGTGGGTTGGGGCTTGGCTAGACTTTGGGTTTAGGGTTTAGGGTTTGGGGTTAGATCATCAAAATGCAGATGGCGGGGTTCCTGCAGCATCCCCTTGATGACCAGGGAGTGTAGCTGCAAGGCGCCAAGACTTCGAGCCCTCGTCTCGATGAGTTTGCTCTTTCACTTGCTTCCGTCGAGCCCTTTACAGTATCCACCCACGACTGAATCCGGAAACTGAGTGTGGAAGACGCACCATGTTCGGCCCAAAGCTAAACCTGCTCATTCTCAAACCCAGAGAGCCCAACCTACCCCTTAATTAAGCAATATACTTTAAATCATTCTATTCAGGCCCGTCTTTTAGAGGTATATTCTTTTTTTCGGTGTATTGGGCTCTCTGGCCGCTCTACACTCAGCTCCGAACCCTCGAAGTTCTCAGCAGGTCATACCGGAATCCAGCACCTGGCGCATGGGCTCTTCAGATCCAATGAGGAGGCAGACCAGGGCTTCCAAAACGATGGCATTGAAAGGGGACCCAAAGAGCCCAATACCCCTTAAATAAAGAATATACCTTAAATTATAGGGGCCTTAATATTATATGACTTAAGGTCTATTCCTTAATTAACGGGTTTTGGGCTCTCTGGGAAGTCCTTTCAATGTTTTACGGTTCAAAGAGTCTTAGCATCCTCTTAGACCCGGCGATGAAGAAGTAGTATTTGCAGTCAGCCTCCTGCAGCAACTAACGTGACGGAAAGGACTATCGTAAGACCCAGAGAGCCCAATACCCCTTACATAAGGAATAGACCTTAAGCTATAGGGCCTTGCTATTGTGATTTAAGGTCTATTCCTTAATTATGGGGTCCCTTGGGCTCTCTGGAAACCCTAAACCCTAAACCCTAAACCCAAAACCCAAAACCCTAAACCCTAAACCCCTAAACCCTAAACCCTAAACCCTAAACATCGAGCTCTCTAGGGACTATGGGCCTTGGAACTCTTCTGGATGTCTTGATCGGCCCTGTGAACCCGTACTTGGAGGATCATGGCACTTAGCAAACTAGGGTTATAAATGAGGTAACTATAGTTATAGCCCCCAATTAGGGTGCTTATAACCTTACTTACTGAACCCTAAATTCCCACCCGGCCT